ACTTAACTGATAAAGCAGCAGCAGGGATTGAGAGGTTTGACTCCAATTTTGAAAGAAGTTCTGTGGGTAAAATTCTATCAAACAACATCACATGCCACAGAGAAATCTTTCATGAAAGGAAGCGTCAATTAACGTGACAAACTTTATTGTCATATTTTAAGAAATTGCCCCAGCCACCGTAACCTTAGCAACCTGACCAGTCAGCAGCCATCAACACTGAGGCAGAATGTCCTGCCAGCAAAAAGATGGTGAAAGACTCGCTGAATAATCAGATGACTGTTAGCATTTTTTACCAATAAACTATTTTTTAATTAAGGTATGTACATTGTTTTTTAGACATAATGCTATTGCACACTTAATATACTACAGTATAGCATACACATAACTTTTATAGGCACTGGGAAACCAAAAAAATCTGTTCGACTTGCTTTATTGCAATCTTAGCTTTATCGCAATGGTTTGGTACCGAACCATTCTGAGCATATTCTGAAAGAACGAAGCCCCATTCAAACATCAGCTCTTTCTTATTTTAGAAAAGCCACATGACATACTAAAAAAAAAAATCCCAGACCTGGGTTCAAATCCCAAATATGCTGCCTGCCAATTGCGAGACTGGGCAGGGTCAGCTTTTAGCTCCTTAATATTGGAAAATTGTGGAAGTCATTTCAGTAGCACGGAATTACTCGATGGCATTAAAAAAGCTAGTGTAGACATAGTCCCCAACACAGAGTGAATAGATAATGACTGTTTGTCTTATTCTCCTCTTCCCTTCCACAGTGTCTGCATTCAGGCAGGGGAGATGGATTGGTCATTGACTAAAGAGAAAACAGATGGTTAATGACAGGCACTGTGGAATTGTCCTCTCCTGAGTCACCTGAAGTGTATACCCGCAGTCTGGGAACTTCCTTAGCACTTTGTGAAATCTCACTAGAAATCTCAGCAATTCGTTACAAAACCCAGTTATGCAAGTAATGGCCGCAGACTGTCGCTGACAAAGCTAGTGATTAAAATACTCCCGGTTGGCTGATAAAGTTCTGTCTGGAGTTTTGTTTACCTTTTTGATTACTGTGGTTTGTGATTAGAAGTCCACTACTTTCTTTTTTCTTAATCAAGATACAAGGGTTCAAGGTGTAGATGTTTTTGTTAAAGTAATTCCGTAAAATTCCTCATCTCCACTGCGCGCGCGTGTGTCAGTATTTTTCAATTAAGCAAATGTTTGTTTCTCAAGGGGCCGTGCACTGCACAGGTCCCAGCATGCGGCTCCCATGTTTTCTTTCTTCCTGTTTTGTCTCACATTAGTGAGCTGTGCCTGTTGCCAGTCAACCATATGGCTTTGAAGTGCAGGAATTCTGCATAGAAATAGGAAGAGATATTTTGAAATTAAATTGCTGACAATTAAATTCCTTTGTGGAATCTGGAACTGTGGAATACTTCCTGTCATGTCGATTAGACCAGCTTTGACTCTTAGGGTCATTCCGCCTCTGGAAAGCAAGCCCGGGTCCAAGTTCCCAACCCCTCGGGCTGTGCGTCAGGAATCCCATTGCATCATGAGTTCCCTGAGTAGGTGAGGTGGGGGAGGAAAGGAAGCCATGCTTGTGGTTGTTTCATTTCTAGCTGCTAGGACATTGCTTAGAAATGAAGGGCTCATTTTTTGTTTGTTGAATAAACACATAAATGAACATCTTAAGTACCTTCTTCAGGTTTGGAGAGCAGAAAATGG